TGTTCATGTTTATGATATTTGATAACACTTTATATCTTTTTTAAATTCTTGCATCAGTAAGTAGGAACTAAGGCTCCACATTAGCTTATAAAATAATCTCTTTGGGGTTATTTTAACATGTAGAAGCTGTCTAGCCACAAGTACGATTGTATTAAAAATGTATTTAATATGACTCAGCTGAGAAGACAATTAAATTTATGTTATGTAGTTAATTCAATATTTGATCTCAGATATTTTAATTAAACCTAACCCACCCACTCTCTGTCTCTGTCTAGTTTCTATTCTTTTGGCAGTAATGTACAATCTGGTTCTAGTGAACAAAAGAAGGGGAAATTCCCAATCTGGCCAGAGTGGAGTGAAGCTGACATCAATTCAGAAAAGTGGGATGCAGGCAAAGGTGCAAAAGAAAAGGACAAAACAGGAAAAAGCCCAGTATTTGTAAGTAGACGCAAACGTGATGAAGTTTCATTTAGGTTTTTAATTTTATAGTGGAATAAGATTTGTAAACATAAGAGGGTATTCATTCTTCTCCACTCTCTCTGTTCAAAAGGGAAATTGTTAATTTATCTGTCCGCCCCACCTCCCAACACTCTTACTTTGTCTTTCCAAGCCTTAGTCCTGAGCTTTGGTGAATCATATTTGGGTAAATTGGAAGAAAGAGGCATGAACAAAGAATCACAATGAAATAAAGGAAAAATTAAGAGACAGGGCAAGTTAGCCAATGGACTTTGGACAGAGTTTGGAAACAGGCATTTATAAAGAGTGGTTTAGAAAATGAGAATCCACAGTGGACTTGTAAGCTGTGACCTGGAGATAATAGGAAAGATAATTTTTAAAAGAAATGTTACTGTGAGATGAAAACTGGGTTCCTCCTACTATCTCCTCAAGATATGTGAATAAAGATCCTCATTGCTCTTCATTTACTTTTTGTCACATAAATATGGCATGTCCCTAAGATTGGCGCTATGTAGAATTTCTACATTTTCTAATTATATTACTTTAGGTTATTTGCCTATTTAAAAATGTTTATTTCTAATGACTTCGAAGTTGAGGCTATGGGTCTGAATTGCATTTAAAAAATGACCTATTTATTTGGTGCAACAATTCATTAACAAACATGTATAGAACACAATATAATTTTCAAAACACAAACAGAATTGCCAGAATGGTTTAGTTGAAATTTGCATAAAGCATTCCAAAATAGTAAATCTTATATAAATTTTGTTCACAAAATATTTATTCATATTGGTCAATTTGTTCACAAAAGATACATAATAAAGGTATTGCTGACTCTGTTAGCACATGAACAATTTCCAAATTAGCAACAGGTAAGGGAACAAATTATTTGTACCACATCTAGAATAATTGTGGAACTTATAGATGCATAAGGCTTTGAATTATATGGATTCTAATGAAAATTGGCATATTTTATGTTTTTTTAATCAGTGATTCAAAACTTAAGGTGGAGGGGGGAAGAGAGAGAGAGAGAGAGAGAGAGTGAGTTTAGCCTTTAGAATTTACATCAGAAGGATAAGGATAGAGTGTGCAAATTGTCAGTTGAGCAGTTGAGCTCTGGAAAAATTCTAGAGATGAGTCACTCCAAAGTCTGGAGAAAACTACACAGAGGGAAAGGGCAAAAGTGCTTGAAATTTTTGAAATATGATGTAAAAATAACTTTTTAGGGAGCTTGGAGTGCAAGGATCCCTTCATCAGATGACTGAAAAAAAATGCAAATCTCTGGAAGGTCGGATGCTAAATTCTGGGATTTATCAGAGTTATTAAACCAAGGGCAAGCCACGTGTGGTGGCTCACGCCTGTAATACCAGCACTTTGGGAGGCAGAGGTATGCAGATCACGAGGTTAGGAGTTCAAGACCAGCCTGGCCAACATGATGAAACCCCATCTCTACTAAAAATACAAAAGTTAGTTTTGTAATCCCAGCTGCTTAGGAGGCTGAGGCAGGAGAATCATTTTAACTGGGGAGGCAGACGTTGCAGTGAGCCGAGAATGCACTATTATACTCCAGCCTGGGCAACAGGGTGAGACTCTGTTAAAAAAACAAACAACAACAACAAAAAAAACAAGGGCAAGTCTATTGGATGATCATCCTTTTTTGGAGGAAAATCAGCGACACTGGAGCAGTAGCAAGTGTATTGGTCACCTGATGTCCATTTCATTTTGGGGCAGCATATACAAATGAGATTACCTGACATTGGACTCCAAAGTAGATACTGTGGCCCTTGGACTAAGGAGCTTTATAAAACACAATGGTTAAAAAAAAAAGCACAAGGCCAGCTCTTGCTGTGAACAGGTCCTACCCATTGGAATGTGACAACTGAGAACCTTAGCCAACATTCTATTCTGCCACTGTAGATTTCAAAAGTAGGAGAGCACCAAACCAAAATGTAAAGTGGTCAAATCTAGGATAGAACCTTACTTTCCACTTCCGGTTCTGTCACAATCTCGTCCATGGCTCATGAAGCAGCAGCTCCTGCACTGGAGTGAGTGGTGTACAGTGTCCAAGCCTTGTGACTGCATCTGCAAGACATGGTTGCATGGTAGCCCTTAGCCCTCATTTGCAGCTTCCATACTTTACCAAGATCAATTTCCTTAAGCATCCAACTATAGCAAGTATCTTTGGAGTTTTGCAGAAGATCGCTTCCCTAGATGTGAAGCTAGTCATCAGAAAATCAGCCCCAGCTGAATTCACCCTTCCCTTTAAGTCCAGAGAAAGGTCTCGTTTCTTTGGCTAAGTGATGAAAACTAAAAGATGTGATGGGTGAATCAAATTGTGAATATATTATGCAATACTGTAAGGTCATTATAAGGAACACAGCTAAAGAAAAATGATGTGGAAAGATTACCCTGAACTTCTTAATGTAGTAGGCCCAAATCCTTGGGAAAGGGAATCATGACAAGGACAGTTCCACATTCACCTTGTTCTTTGTTTATTTATTTTTTACTCTCTCGAGTACATTTATTAATTCAAGGCATGAAGATTAGGAATCAAGCAGAAAGTAGTTTCCTGGGGCTTGTGTCTGTTTCTTGAGCTGGAGAGACAGAAGATATTGCCTAGGGCTGCTAAAACAATCCAAACTTCAACCAGATCCCCAGGGCTAATGGCAGAGAAGCGATCTGAAAATTTTGCATATAATTTTAAGATATTTACTCAACTCCTAAACTATGTATGAAGGATAAGCTGTTGAGTAAATGAATAAACAGCAGCAGCTTGAAGTGGAAATTTAAAAAGATTTCATGGTGCTTTGGAGAGAAATTAGAATTTAGGATACATCAAGGTGAAGGGACCCCAATAAATACTCCAGCTTTTTTATAGCATGCACCAGACTGACTCTAGCATTCTGTATGAAGTAAGGGCAAACCAAAGTTATACCAGCCCTACCAGATCCTGAACCCCAGTGTTGACCGAGTTAAGTACATCTTGTACTCTGCCTGCCAAAAAGAAATAAAATTCTCCTCTCTGGAAGAAGACATCATTATCTAGAACCCATACTGATTTTTATATTCAATGTATATCATTCAATCAAAAATTATTAAGCATGTAATCTACCAGATGTACAAAGACAAGCTGGTACCATTCCTACTGAAACTATTTCAAAAAATTGAGGAAGAGACACTCCTTCCCAACTCATTCCATGAGAACATCATTATCTGGATAACAAAACATGGCAGTCACAACAACAACAACAAAAAACTTCAGGCCAATATCCTTGATGAACATTGATGCAAAAATCCTCAACAAAATACTTGCCAATGAAATCCAGTGGCACATCGAAAAGCTAATCCACCATAATCAAGTAGGCTTCACTCCCAGAATGCAAGGGTGGTTCAACAGATGCAAATCAATAAACATCATTCATCACATGAACAGAACTAAAGACAAAAACCACATGATTATCTTAACAGATGCAGAAACAACTTTTGATAAATTCAACACCCCTTCACGTTAACCCTTTTCCCATTTACAAAAAAGTGCAGTTTGTTGCCAATGTTCATTTAATTTTACATAAACACCCTCTCTGAGGCTGAAGCAAATATGACTGATTTTCAATGTAAAAATAAAACATAAAACTGTTCTTGGAGTTATTTCTAAACAGAACTTGTCTCTAATTTTAATGTAACAGAAATGTATATGATAATCAGTATTTAATAATTTATTATGAGATAAATTTCAAAGCACAGAATAACACAAAGTGGAGCATTACATTCTGAAAAAAAAAAAAATGCACTTCTCTTCAGATCCTCTTGCCATTCCTTTTGTTGTGCAAGTAGCAAACTTTGCCCTGACCACTTGGATTTCATTTCCCTGATGTTAGTAGTAAGCTTTTGGGTGAAATGCTTTCCAGACAAGTGAAGAGGCATGGCATCATCAGTGAGCATGGGTGACCTTAAAGATGTTCTGCCCTAGCTTGTGATGCTTTTCCAGCATTCTCTAAATCAATGGCAGTCTCAAGTTTACATGGCTAATCTTGTGCTCAGGATTGTCCTCCTTGAGCAGGATGTAATTCACTGCTTTAATAGAGGTGGTGAAAGAATTTCTTCTTATACCAAACATTGTTTAATTTTGGGATATACACTGCAGCTGCAAGCACTGCTGGTGAGTTTTCTTGGGTACAAATGGAAAATGGTTAAAAACTCTCAACAAACTAGATATTGAAGGAACAAACCTCTAAATAAAAAGAGCCATCTATGAAAAACCCACAGCCAACTTTATACTGAATAGCAAGAGCTGGAAGCGTTCCTCTTGAAAACTGGCAGGTGACAAAGATGCCCTCTCTCACCACTCCTGTTCAACACAGTATTGAAAGTCCTCACCAGAGAAATCAGGTAAGAAAAAGAAATAAAGGCACCCAAATAGGAAGAGAGGAAGTCAAACTATCCCTGTTTGCAGATGGCATCCTATATCTATCTGTAGTCTCAGACCAAAAGCTTCAGATGGTAAACAACTGCAGCAAAGTTTCATGATGCAAAATCAATATACAGTGCTCACTTCAGCAGCACATATACTAAAACCGGAAGGATACAGAAAAGATTAGCATGGCTCCTGAACAAGCATGCCACACAAATTCATGAAGAGTTCCATATTGTTAATTAATAATCTAACTTCACAATTGAAATAACTAGAGAAGCAAGAACAAATTAATCCCAAAGCTAGCAGAAGTTGAGAAATAATGAAAATTAGAGCTGAACTGAAGGAAATTGAGACATGAAAAATCATTTAAAAGATCATTTTAATGAAAAAAGATGATTTTTAATTAAATCATTTTAAATGAAAACAGATGATTTTTCATTTAAAAGATCAACAAAATCCAGGAGTTGTTTTCAATAAAATAGGCCACTAGCTAGACTAGTAATGAAGAAAAGAAAGAAAATCCAAAGAAACACAATTAGAAATAATGAAAGGAATGATACTACTGACCCCACAGAAATGAAAACAACTATTAGAAACTACTGCAAACTCCTCTATGCACACAAACAAGAAAACCTAGAAGATATAGATAAATTCCTGGACACATTCGTCTTGAGACTGAGCCATTCGTCTTGAGACTGAGCCAGGAGAAAAAAAAAATTGTTTTCCTAAACAGACCATTAACAACCTCTGAAATGGAGTCAGTAATAAAGGTCCTACCAACCAAACAAAAGCCTGAGACCTGATGGATTAACAGCTGAATTCTACCAGATGTAGAAAGATGAGCTGGTACCATTTCTACTGAAACTATTCCAAAAAATTGAGGAGGGACTCCTCCCCAAGTGATTCCATGAGGCCAGAAACATCTTGATAACAAACCTGCCAGAGACACACACACAAAAGAAAACCTCAGCCCAATATTCTTGATGAACATCAATGCAAAATTCCTCAACAAAATACTTGCAAACTGAATCCACCAGCACATCAAAAAGCTAATCCACCATGGTCAAGTAGGCTTCATCCCCACGATGCAAGGTTGGCTCAACATATACAAATCGATAATTGTCATTCATCACATAAACAAAACTAAAGACAAAAACCACATGAATATCTAAATAGATGCAGAAAAGACTTTTGATAAAATTTGACACCACTTCATCTTAAAAACTCTCAATAAACTAGATATTGAAGGATCATACATCAAAATAATAAGAACCCTCTATGACAGACCGACAGCCAACATTCTATTGAATGGGCAAAAGCCAGAAGCATTCCCCTTTGAAAACCACTACAAGACAAGGATGCCCTCTCTCACCACTTCTATTTAACATAGTATTAGAAGACCTAGCCAGAGCAATTAGGCAAGAGAAAGAAGTAAAGTGCATTAAAATAGGAAGAGAGGAAGTCAAACTATCTCTGTTTGAAGATGACATAATTCTATATCTAGAAAACCCCATAATCTTGTCCCAAAAGCTCCTGCAGCTGATAAACAACTTTAGCAAAGTTGCAAGATACAAATTCAAAGTACAGAAACCACTAGTATTACTATACCCCAACAATGGCCAAAATGAGAGGCAAATCAGAAAGGCAATTTCATTCACAACTGACACAAAAAGAATAAAATACCTAGGAATACAGCTAATGAGGAAGATAAATGATCTCTATAAGGAGAACTACAAAATTGCTCAAACAGAAACAAATGGGAAACATTCTATGCTCATGGATAGGAAGAATCAATATCATTGAAAAGGTGTACTGTCCAAAGCAATTTACAGATTCAGTGCTATCCCTATGAAACTCCCAATGACATTCTTCACAAGTGAGAAAAAAACTATTCTAAAAAATTCATATGGAACCCAAAAAGAGTTTGAATAGAAAGTCAATCCTAAGGAAAACAACAATAACAACAACAACAACAACAACAAAAAAGAAAAAGGCATCATACTACCTGACTTTATACTATTAAACAAGGCTATAGGAACCAAAACATCATGATACTGATACAAAAGCAGGCACATGGACCAGTGAGACCAGTAGAGAGCCATAAATAAGGCCAAACATCTGTGACCATCTGATCTTTCACAAAGCTGACGAAAATAAGCAATGGGGAAAAAAACTCCCCATTCAATAAATGGTGCTGAGATAACTGGCTAGCCATATGCAGAAGATTGAAGCTGGACGCTCGTCTTACAACATACACAAAAATCAACTGAAGATGAAATAAAGACTTAAATGTAAAACCCAAAACTATAAAATCCCTGAAAGATAACCTAGACAATACCATCCTGGGCATAGAAATGGGCAAAGATTTCATGACAAAGCCGCCAAAAGCAATTGCAACAAAAGCACAAATTGACAAGTGGATGTAATTAAACTTAAGAGCTTCTGCACAGCAAAAGAAACTATGAACAGAGTAAACAGACAAACTACAGAATGGGAGAAAATATTTGCAAACTATACATCTGACCCAGGTCTAATATCCAGCATCTATAAGGAACTTAAACACATTTACAAGAGGAAAACAACCAACCACATTTAAAAGTGGACAAATGACATGAACAGACATAAACTTCTCAACAGAAGATATACATACAGCCAACAAACATATGAAAAAAAGCCCAATATTTCTGATTATTAGAGAAATGCAAATGAAAGCCACAATTACACACCATCTCACACCTGTCAGAATGGCTATTACTAAAAATCCAGAAAACTAACGGATGCTGATGAGGCTGCAGAGAAAAGAGAATGCTTATACACTGTGGTGGGAAATTTCAACCATTGTGGAAAGCACTATGGCGATTCCTTAAAGAGGTATAAGTAGAACTACCATTAGATCCAGCAATCCTATTACTGGCTGTATGCCCAGAGGAACATAAATCATTCTACCATAAAGAAACATGCCCGTGAATGTTCATTGCAGCACTAGTCAGAATATCAAAGACATGGAAGCAACCTAAATATCCATCAGTGAAAGGTTGAATAAAGAAAATGTGGCACACCTGCACCATGGATACATATACACCATGTATTATGTAGATACTATGCAACCATAAAAAAGAACAAGATCATGTCTTTTGCAGGAACATGGATGGAGCTGGAGGCTATTATCCTTAGCAAACTAATGCAAGAGCAAAAAACCAAATACCAAATATTCTCATTTCTAAGTGGGAGTTAAATCATAAGAACTTATAAACACAAAGAAGGAAACAAGAGACACTGTGGTCTACTTGCTGAGGGAGGCTGGGAAGAAAGACAGGAGCAGAAAAGATAACTACTGGGTACTAGTCTTAATACCTGGGTGATGAAAATCTGTACAACCAACCCCTGCGACATGAGTTTACCTATGTAACAAACCTTCTCATGTACCCCCACTTCTAAAATAAAAGGCTTTTTTTTTTTAATTACCAGACATTAAAAGAAACAGAACCAAGTGACTGAAAATCAAGATAAATCAAATAATAGAAATTGATCCATGAACATCTTAGGTTTTGGAATTGTTAGATAAGGGACTTTAAAACAACTAAATATTTGCATTAAAGGAAGGGAAAATGATGTAAGGAAACTCCAGAAGTGTAGCAACAGCTCCTGGAAATTCAGTCAATTTTTCGATGATTCACTTTTTGAGAATCTTGCCTGGATGTTGATGTACCCTTTGTCTTCATTCAAATTATTCCAGTATCTTAAAGGTGACAATAAACTACATCTTCCAGATAAACATATATACTTAAAATGTTCAAAATGTATACAATGCCCTCAAATACAACCTGTTTCTCAGTCCACACCAGCCTTGAGGTAAAAATGTGATTACTGTGAAAATCCCAAAACCATATTTATTTCTTCCTGTCCTTATTAACTCAGGTGAAACTTAGTTGCTTTTTTCTGTATAGATAGTTTATATTTCTCAAGTAATTTCATTTATAACCTGGCAATTTTAAGGTTATTTTTTGTAAGGATCTTTTTTTCCCAGCATCCCATAAATTCTGAGAATCTTACATAGCACTTGTCTGAAGCATTTTGAACTCACTAGGTTGCTAGCATTTGAGAGTATGCATTTGGATATAATTTTTTCTCCAGAGCTCATTAATTGACCTGTAATAAGAGTGCAAAAATTTATGAATTAATTGCATTCTTGGGCATTTATCGCAAATAAATGGAAATTTACATTATGCAGATGTCCACAGCAGCTTTATTGGTAATAGCCCAACCCTGGAAACATCCCAGATGTTCTTCAACAAACAATTGGTGAACAAACAAATGTCTGTATATGAAATATTACTCAGCAATAAACAAGAACAAACTATTGATATCTGAAACAACTTGGATGACTCTCCTGAGAATTACACTGACAGAAGAAAAGCCAGTCCAAGATATTTCATGCTTCCTTACAATCATACCACAAATGGTGTGATTTCATCTATGTAACCATTGCTGAATGTTATATAGACATTCAGTATATAATGACAAAATTATAGAAATAGAGATCAAAGGAGTTGTGGGCACGTGTTAGGGATGGAGTATGGGATGGGGAGTGGGAGCATAGGTGTGGCTATGAAAAAGTATAGGAATAGTACTTGTGGTGATCAAACTGTTCTATATCTTGACTGTCAATGTCAATATCCTGGTTACGATACTGTATTACAGTTTCACAAGATGTTACAATTGGAGAAATTGGGTAAAGGGAATACAAGAATCCATTGTATTATTTCATACAACTGTATATGGATCTATAATTATAGGAAAGAGATTAATTTGAAAAATTAAATGAAAATCAGGTAAAACATCCAAGTTTTATTTAAATATGATCTTGTTTATGATTCTAACAGTTGAAAATTAAGTAAATATTTTAAAATCTTCTCCATTCAGGTAAAAAAATTTTTTCAATGGAGAATGTGGCCATATCTGGCCCATCGTAAATTGCTTCCCTGCCATATCTAGTTTACTTTCCAAAGCATCTTATGTTTCTTTGGGCTACCTCCTCTACAATCAAAATGCTACTCAACAGTCAGTGAGCATATTACATGTAACCAATGAGTATATGTTTGTTATATACAGTTTTGTTAAATTCGGTATTCTTTAAGTACTCCATGAATTAGCTCTTGCAACACAAATTGCTTTGTAAAGGCTTATTGATTGACCGAGTCTATGTACTTACTTCTTCTTTTATTAAAATTCAGTTG